GCCCCTCCCGCCAGCGTTGCAGGTCCACCGCCGGGCCCCTCATGGGGCTCGGCAGTGGAGCTGCAAGGCCGGCGCCGGTGGCCGGGACTGTTGGGGGTGGTGTGTGTGGCCTCATGACACACTTCCGGTGATGTCAGGGGGTGTGGTCTTATGACACACTTCCAGTGACGTCAGGGGATGTGGCATATGCTAATGAGTTATGCTAATGAGTCCCCCTAGCTCTTTTTCTACGAAACGACCCCTGCCTACCGCCCCCTTTTCAGGGAAAAAAAATGACTCAACGCCCCCCTGGATATCGGCCTTCAAGAAGTGGACAAAAAGATGCAGTTTATGGCTCTGCACCTGGATCGTTCCAGCCCAACTGGATCGTTCCAGCGCCCCCCAGGGGGTGGTACTGCCCACTTTGGGAACCAGTGGCTTATATGATGTATAGTCTGCCTTTGCTGCTTGGACCCCAGGCAGATAACACAGAGTGAGTCGATACCATCCACAGGATGGGATATTCAATAAACAAAGCAATAGGATGGGGGTAGTCCAACTAACCGGAAATACGAGAACAGAACTGAAGGAAAGCAGAAAGTATTAACGTTCAGTGATGCAAAGTGACATAAGCAAGGTCCCGCTCTCAGCAAACTATGTGCAGTGCTCATAGATCCAGAGCAATGCTCCCTCTAAGCTGTGGAGTCTTGTGAGCAGTGTTCCCCTTAAGCTGAGTTAGTTCGATTTGGCTGCTGCATTAATTAGTTTGCTCTGGAGCCGTCCTTTCCTGAGCGAGCACGAAAATGTGTGAGCTGGAGGCTAAAAAACTGTGAGCTAACTCACACTAACTCAGCTTAGAGGGAACACTGACAGAGGCATTAGCCGTGTTAGTCTGTTGCTGCAAAACAGTAAAAAGCCCAGTAGCACCTTTAAGACTAACAAACTCTATTGTAGCATAAACGTTCGAGAAACATAGCTCTCTTCGTCAGATGCGTGGCGGGTATGAAGAAACTGGCCAGAGATGTATAGGTGGTAAGGGGAGGGGTTACAGATTGCATAAGGTGCCATGGAAGAAGAAGAGGAGGAGATTGGATTTATACCCCGCCCTTCACTTGGAGTCTCAGAGCAGTTTACAAACTCCTTTCCCTTCCCCTCCCCACAACAGACACCCTGTGAGGTAGGTGGGGCTGAGAGAGCTCTTGACTGAACGGTCCTTTCAAGGACAGCTCTTGTCAGAACCCTGGCTTGCCCAAGGTCATCCAGCAGCTGCAAGTGGAAGAGTGGGGAATCAAACCCGGTTCTCCCAGATTAGAGTCCGCGCACTTAACCACGACACCAAACTGGATCTCAAACCACTACACCAAACTGTAAATGCAAAGCAGCTGCCAAAGTTATGAAAAAAGTAGAATGCGCAATCCAGGCTGGCTGTGTGACCCCTTCCTTCTATTGATGATGCGCAGTGGTACAGACCGCAGTCCCTGATAATTTATCTGCGGAACTCTGTGAAACGTTTTGTACATGCGATTCCAGAAGCAGACCGCCCAGCCTTCAGAAATGTAGGACTGCCTCTCGCATCCACCCGCGCGGACGTCTCTACGGGCCGCGGCTGTTTTCCCACTCTAAACGCAAAGACTTCTCGTGGAAGTTAATTAGACTCATCCATCTCAACAGCCATTACCCCCCCTCCGCGCAGGAATAAATAACTATTTGTTCCAACCTCTCATTTCCATCGGCGTTAACATTCTGCCGCCTAAATCAGGTTAATTAAAAATTGTTACAGTTAATGCCGGAGATGCCGCGGATTCACTAATGGCGTGTAAAGCCCGCGCTCGGCGAGGAGGGCTGTGGGGCGTACGGGATGCTGGCAAACATCTCCCGGCGTGTTATTTATAGAAACGGCTGCGGCAGGCGGAATGCTAATGAGGACGGGGCGAAGTCAAAGGAAGAGAGCGACTCGCGGTTTCTTGTCGGAGCCAGTGGGGGATGCGGGAGGTGGAGAGAAGATGTAGGAGGGACAGCCAGGTATGTTCGCCTGAATCACAGTGATCCAAAAAATCCACTGCCCGGAGCACTTACTAGACATTTCGCCAACATCACGTCTCCTTTGTGGCTTCTAAGCATCTAAGCCAGTTTGGTGCAGTGGTTAAGTGTGCGAACTCTAATCTGGGAGAACCGGGTTGGATTCCCCACTCCTCCACTTGCACCTGGCTGGATGACCTAGGGCAAGCCACAGTTCTGATAAGAGCTGTCCTTGAAAAAGAGCCGTTTCTGCCAGAGCTCTCTCAGCCCCACCTGCCTCACAGGGTCTGTTGTGGGGAGGGGAAGGGAAAGGAGTTTGTAAGCCGCTGTGAGACTCCTTCGGGTAGTAAAGGGCGGGGTATAAAGCCAATCTCTTCTTCTTCTAGTGCTTAAGTGCACAGACTCTAATCTGGGAGAACCTGGTTTGATTCCCCCACTCCTCCACTTGCACCTGGCTGGATGACCTTGGGCAAGCCGTAGTTCTGGTAAGTGCTGTTCTTGAAAAACAGCCGTTTCTGTCAGAGCTCTCTCAGCCCCGCCTACCTCCCAGGGTGTCTGTTGTGGGGAGGGGAAGGGAAATGAGCAGAGGTCATTTCAGGGGGGATCGCGGGGGATCGCAGTTCCCCCGGGTGAGGTACGGGGGGCGGGGCACATGAAGAAGCCC